AGGAGGAGGAAGGTGGAGAGAGAGAGAAGGGGGAATTGTCATTGGTCTTGCTGGTGTACTTCTTCTTCTTCTTCTTCTTCTTCTTCTTCTTCTTCCTCTTCTTTCTCTCTCCTCTGGTCTTTATCTCTTTGCAAGTGCTTTCATTTCTTTCGCAATTGGGTGGCATTGTCTTTCATTGTGAATTTGCACTTGGGAAATGACCAGGATCGTAACAATTGGTATCGGAGCGGACTTACTTGTTGGCGAGAGGTGTTAGTCACCCTAAACCTAATTCCGAATTAGGTCAAGGCTAACCTAACTTCGGATTAGGGTTGGAAGTTAGGGTTAAGTGGGGCAGTGAGGTATGTGGATACTGCCCCCACCTGGTTAGGTCATGTAGGGTCGACATTTGACCTAACCAGGTTGACTGAGTGAATGGATGGGGTGGCGAGACACAAAGGAGGCTGATTGGAGTAAACGAGAGGGAGTAGAGAGTGAGAGGTACTCGCACCTGGAATCTGCACTTCAAGAAGACATATCTATGTCCGATATCAAGACGCGTGCGCAGACAGCTGAGAGAGAGAGAAGGGAGAGAGAAGGTGTTCTGTTTGAGAGTGTGAGGAGGGGCAAGAGGAGTGTTCGTCCAAACGTAAGGAGAGAGCGGATCCCTCTTGAGAGATCTACACACCACTTCCTCCGACATGGCAAACATCACATCTGCCCAATGGCAGGCCATGCTGGATGCAGCAGATGAGAGCGAGAGACCGTTCTTCCAGAAGCTTTATGATGATGTCGTGCAGAGGGAAAGGGAGGCAGAGGCAGCAACCAGAGCTGGCAACATTGCTGATGAGGTGGCCCTCCTCCGGATCCCGGAAGCCAATGCTGACCGGTTCCAAGAGGGACTAGCTGCTGCCATAGCAGCCTTGGTTCAACTGCGGACCTTGGAAAACCTTGAGTCCCGTGTGACAGCACTAGAGCAGCGGAACCAAGAGTTGCAGGCGGAGCTACTCAGCCTCAAATAGTCCCAACTGTCTGCCCCCCGCCCTCCTAACCCTCGACCTGCTGTAGTCCCAGTCTCCCAATCTAACACAGTCCTCGTGGCAAGAGCAAGTGGAACTGTGACGAGCGCATGAACCGGTGCCAGCTCCTCGAGCGGCAGCGCCGACAGCTCTGCACTAGTCATAGTCCCAAATGCAGGGACATCAGCCCAAAATGCCACAGTCCTTACTGGCGTTCAGTACAGCGGTCCCGTAGTGGACAAGCGGGCAGCCACCTTGCCGTCCAAGTACGACGGGAAAGCGGACATTACCTCTTGGATTAGTTCCATGCGGTCATACTTCGAGGTTATGCGGACACCGCAAGAGGACCGAAGCATGATCATGGGGACTAATACTGAGCCCACCGTACGGAATCACATTGAGCTCCAAGTTATTGCTGCAGGTTATGAAAGAATTGACCTGACAGAGTGGCTGAAAGTAACCCCTGTACGCATCCTTGAGGACCTTCTCATCACACGGTACCAAGACAAGCATGCTGCGCTCAAGGCTAGGCTGAAGCTTGAGGCCCTCAAGGGCTAAACATGGAGGTCCTCCATGCAGGCTTTGGAACAACACTTGACCGGTCTGTTCACTACCCCAGATCTAGGAATGACCGACGTGTCTTGTATGGATGTAGTCATGGGAGTGGCCCCTAAAGAATACCTCTCCCTGCTAGGACTCAAAGACCATACTACTTGGCGAGAGCTCATGACGGATCTAGTCAACCTAGAGGCCAAGGACCTCGCCAGGCGTAAGAAGGTGCCCGCTGCAGGTGGAAAACCACAACGCAAGTGGTATGGAAGCAGCAACCAGCTTGCACTGCATGAACATCGGGAGGTTGAAGATCAGTCCTACGCGGATGATCTGTCTCTAGATGACAATCTAGAGCCGGACTCCGATATGGGCTGTTCCACATCAGCCATTGAGTCTGACATAAACGAAGACGAAAAACTTAATGCCTTTAGAAAGACTGCTTCAAACAAGGGACCTAACCGTGGTTCGGGTAAGGGAACGACTGTCCACCTCCCCAAGAACGCGAAGATCCCTGAGAAGCCGGAGGATGCGTCTACCAAGCCTTGGGAAACCCTCCGTATCAGTCAAAGGGAATGGGAAAGAAGATCTAAACTGCGCATATGCTTGCATTGTCAAAAACCTGGGCATGCTGTGCATGACTGTTATAGACTTCAGGGAAACAAGCAAAGGGCGTAGAGGAGTCATCGGCACTCCCTACAACAAGGGAAGCTGGAAGATCAGTTGCAGGCCCCTCTAATGAGCTTGAATCTGATCAACAGCCTACTCTTGAAGCCCGGAACGACGCTGATTCCAAGGCTGCTGCAATTCATGTGCTATACACTGAGCCTTGGGAGGAGTCTAAGGAAGTTGACTTCCTCGCTCACATGGAACATTGGCTGCAGCTCAAGTAGCAACGTCGTATCCAAGGGAGAGTGGAGCTAACCTTCTTTAAACTGCTCATTAACCACCGATACATCCGCGTGCTGATTGATAGTGGTTCAACCACTAATTTATTGTCTCCTAACGGGATTCGTAAGGCGGGCCTGGGAATGAAGCAAGTGGAACTGCAGAACCCTTGTCAGACCCAGGTGGGCAACCAAGAGGTTGTCACCTCTACACATGCTATCAAAGGTGTGCGCGTCACCTTTGACAAGGACCGCACTGTCACACATGAGCTCAACTTCTATGTCATGGACAAGTGTCCGTTCGACGCTGTCATTGGCTTGGGCTGGTTAAAGGCTCATTGCCTAAGGACCACGTGGGCGGACAATCAGTTCGTGGTGCGTGATGCCAAGGGGAACGAGCGTACCGTCCTATTGGATGAGACGCGTAAGTCCCCTGTGACTCTTCTAAATGCAAACAAATTCTGCAAATCAGTGCGCAGGCGCAAGGAAGTTGAGCACGTACATGTAGCTTTTGTAAAGCCTCTCCATGTGCCTTCTACTTTTGCTGCATTTTCTACCTCGGTAAGTAACTCTACTTCTACCACCTCTACTTCTAATCCATCTACTTCTACTGTGAATAATCCCTCTACTTCTGATCCAAGTACCTCCAATCCAGTTGTAATTGCTGTAAATTCTCAAACTGATGTTCTTTCTCCTGATGAGGACGATCCTCCACCGGAAGTCCCAACAAACATTCGCCAGCTGTTAGATCGATTTCCTGAAGTTTTGGCCGAACCTCGTGGAGTTCCCGAGCGTCCGGTCAAACACAAGATCGAGATAATAGAAGGGAGTGTTCCTCCAAAGGGCTGCGTCTACCGTATGGGGCAAGGCGAGTTGGAGGAGTTGAGGAGGCAGATTGATGACATGATCGATCGTGGATGGATTAGGCCTAGTGAGTCTGCGTTCGGTGCACCTGTCCTGTTTGTGCCGAAGAAAGGAGTCAAACTCCGGATGTGCATTGACTATCGTGGCCTAAACCGTATCACCCGGAAGAACGCGTATCCCTTGCCTCGTATAGATGATCTGCTAGATGCTGCAGGTGGGTGCAAGGTCTTCTCCAAGATCGACCTCAAATCTGGCTACCACAAGATTGAAGTTGATCCGAGTGACCAGCACAAAACTGCATTCAAGACACACGATGGGCTGTACGAATTCATCGTTATGCCCTTCGGTCTTACGAATGCACCAGCCACATTTCAGAGCCTCATGGACAAGGTACTCCACCATCAGCTCAACAGGTTTGTGGTTGTGTACCTTGGTGATATTCTGATTTTCAGCAAGTCCATGGAAGAGCACCTCAAGCACCTTGAGGAGGTCTTGCAGGTCCTCAAGGCGGCACAGCCGCACCTCAACTTAGAGAAATCTGAGTTCGGAAGGGACAGCGTCATCTATCTTGGGCATCGGTTGTTTGCAAACGGCCTCGAGCCGGAGGCAACCAAGGTGGAGGTCATACGAAACTGGTCTCAACCAGTGAACGTACGTGAACTGCGCTCTTTTCTTGGTTTGGCTTCATACTACCGGAAGTTTGTGCCAAAATTTTATATCATTGCTCACCCACTCTCAAGACTGACCAGTAAGAATGTTGCCTATGCATGGTGTGAGAAGTGTGAGACTACGATCCAAGCCTTAAAAGAGGCATTGGTCAGTCATCCTGTGCTCCGCATTGCGGATCCCAACCTCACATTCGTAGTCACTACTGATGCAAGCCAGTTTGGGATTAGTGCAGTGCTGCAACAAGTTAATGGTGATGGACTGCGTCCGCTCGAATATTACAGCAAACGCATGTCCAGCCACAAGGTAGCTACCTCCACATACATGCGTGAGAGGCGCTCACACATTGGAAGCACTACCTCTTGGGTCGACACTTCAAGGTCTACTCAGATCATCAGACCTTGCAGTGGATTAAGACACAAACTGATCTCTCTCCTACGCTGACCCGCTGGTTGCATGACATTGATGTGTACAATTTTGAATTGAAACATAAGAAAGGTTGTTATAATCGTGTTGCTGATGCCTTGTCGCATCACCCTGAGTTTTCGACTTGCGTTGTGGGTTCGTATGACCTCCGAAGGAAACTGAAGGAGGATCTGGTCGAACACACCGCCAAGGATCCGGACCTTAGTCCCATCCTTGAGCAGCTCAAGGCTGACCCTCACAGTCAGCCTGATTTTCATGAGTGCGAGGGTCTTGTATTCCGCCGGTATGGGAAGTTTGATCGTTTGTGTGTACCCAACCATGCGCCTCTCCGGACTCATTTCCTGGATTTGGCACATGGTCGGAGTGGACACTTCGGCTTTGAGAAGACTTACGGAAGCCTTTTGCAGCAGTTTGATTGGCCAGGAATGAAAGGATCCGCTCAGAAATTTATTCTTGAATGTCAGGTATGCCAAAGAACCAAGGTCCACAGGCATAAGCCTTATGGTCTCCTGAGACCCCTCCCCATTCCTGATGGACCCGGTGAGTCGATTTCCATCGACTTCACGGACATGGGAAAGGTGAGTGCGGCTGGAAATTCACAAGTCATGGTCATCGTGGACCGTTTTTCTAAATTTTTGAACTTGATTCCTTTCCCTCCCCATGCCCCGACTGAACTTGTCATTGAAGATTTTCATCAACAGTTGACTTCACCTCTCAAATCTATGACATTAAACTGAACAAGACTTCTGGTCGACACCCCGAAGCCAATGGATTGGCCGAGGAGATCAACCAGACTGTCATCCAACTACTTCGCGCATTGATTGTTCCAGATCAGAACACGTGGGACAAGGAGCTGCATAAAGTGAAGGGGTTGTATAACAACTCCATTCACTCTGCAACTGGCGTGACACCAAACCAGTTGCAATATGGATGGCCGATGCGTAATCCCCTCTCCTATTTGTTCCCTGAACGGTCACCTGGTCTGATGCCCGGCATGCCTGGCTACAATGCCAAGTGCGCACGCTTGCTCAAAGCTGTTATTGCAGCCATGAACAAGCGCCAGCATGCCATGATCAAACATGCTAACAAGTTGCGCAAAGAAGAAAAATTCAAAGTAGGGGATTATGTTTGGGTTAAAATGTCTGAGTTTTCTGATGAAGAGGGCATATCACGAAAACTCCTTCCATCGTACTATGGCCCTTGGCAGATTCTGAAGGTGATTGGGGATGATTTTGGTCCTTCATATGTGATTGGCGTGCCTCCTCATCTGCGCATGTATCCGGTCTTTCATGCGTCCAAACTGTTTCCACACATTGATGATGAGACGTTTCCCTTCCGAGACCCTATGATACCTCGCCCTATCGACGGCGGCCATGAGATAGACAAAATCGTTTCTCATGAGGGAAGAGGGAGGAACAGACAGTACAAGGTTCACTTCCTCTATCACCCGTTGACCGAGTTCTTCTGGATCGACCGAAAAGAGCTGCTAAAGAGCGCTCCCCGTGTTGTGAACGCTTATGAACGACAGATCGCTGAGGGACAGACTGCTAAATTTGTTGCGACCATGACTCCTCACGGACTTACTAAGTCTCTCCTTTTGATTTACTCTTATAATGCATTTTGTGCCAACTCTGAACGAGTTACTCGCTCGAAGGGACCTCGCTCTTGAGAGGGGGGTAATGTAATGACCCGCCAAAAACACAAACTGAGAACACTGCTGATTTCTGGGATTTGCCGCTGGAATGAATGCCTTGCCGAAATTCCCGCATTCTGTTGTGATTTCCATGTCTGTGTGTGTGCGTGCCTGCTGGTTTGCATGCCTGTCTGAGTGCTTGTCGGTTGAGTGTGTGTATGACCCGCAAGGGTACTTGTTGGTTGAAGGGCCCCGCAGGGC